ATTTAGACCTCTATAAATGCCCTTTGCCTCCTAGCTCTTTCCTCTATTTGCTTTTACTTTCCTCCTGTCCCATCATCATGTTCAGCCTTCATTTGAGTTACAGTAATTCCTCTCTTACCCCCTACCTCCCCCTCTCCCATGTCACCTCAGAACTTTCGGTCCCATTGTTTTCTCCTCCAGATTGTTCATCCAGCCTACCCTATTTAGATAGACCTGTGGAGATAATAACATGCACAAAAACAAGACAGAGCAAAAGCAAGCAACAAAAGAAAACAAAACAACAACAGCAACAAGCCAATGACAAAAAAACAAACAAAAGAAAACACAACAACAAGAAAGAAAAGCTTATAGTTAGTTCAAGGACTGTTTGTTGACCTTTAGGAGTGTTTTCTGGTTGAGTCTGATGGGGCGCCAAACCCTGACCCTAAAGTCTATTTTTGATACTCCCTGGGGACTTTGTTGCTCTGTTCCCCTTGCTTTTCTGTTGCCTTAGTGTTTTGCCTCGGTGTGTTGGGATCAGATAGGGTGTAATTCCCACACTGTATTTCCAGTGTTGTACCCTGTAGGGCTATGGGTCAGTGAGGGATATTGTGTCTCATAGTGGAGCCAGCCATATGGTCTTCTCTATGGATTGGCTGTTCAGAGCAGGGATATCGTCCACCAGGCTTGGTGGACCAGGGTGTGCTCCACTCTCTCTTCTTCCCCCTTCCTTTGCTCCTGTTTACTCTGATCAGACATGTCCCTCTCCCTGAGTTGCAGCTTCAGTGTTGTCCTCTGAAATAAATTCTTCTTGGAGGAGGGACCGGTGTCCACATTTTAAGTAACTTTGTTTCCTCTAGTTTTCCATAAAGGAGCATAGTGGTTTGAGCTTGTCCACTAATCCCAAGGCAGTTGGAACTCAGATTTTTCTCTCAGGAAAGAAAGGCCTGGGAAATTGCTTCCATAGGGGTTACAGTCAAGAAAACCTCAGTCAGGTGTCAGGGGAGTCAGCCCCTAATAAATCATCACAGGTCTGGTTGGCGCAATTGTGCAGTAATAATAAGTAAAGATTATAGTAAAATCATAGAGAGATGGGAGAGAGAGTAAAATAAAGAAGTCAGACACATTTCATGGTAGCATGCTCACCTCAGCTCTTCTTGGTGGTCTACATGGGGATGGGAGACAAGAGGGCAGGAGAGAGAGTCAGTGATTTATTGCTAACCAAGGCTTATATATCTTTGGGCGTGTGCATGCACCCTAATTACAGTTAAAGACACACATCACAGGAAGGGGTTGTACAACAGGCAATACAAGCAATAGGAGGGGGATATATAATGGGCATAAACGTAACAGGAAGTGGATGAGCTAGGGGCGTACATGTAATAGTAAGGGGAGGGACTAGGGGTATACATGTAACAAGAAGGGCAGACCCTAGTCTCAATATGGCAGCCTAATCTTGGTCACCCTTGAGTGGGCTAGACCTCCCTGGGTTCTCCTTCAGGGCTACAATCTACTACTATCCTTATCAGAAGGGAGTGGACCCTACTTCAGGTGGGACAGATTATACAGTCTGATTACTCTAGATGGCTGATAACACTTAGGGAGAATAACCCCTGACCTATTTCTGTTGACCTCCAAGTGTATTTGGAGGTCATTTACTATGTGTAGCAAGCAGCTAAGTTTGGCATACAGTGAACCCTCATTTATCGTGGTTAATCAGTTCTAGACCCTACTGTGATAAATGAAATTCTGCGAAGAAGAATTCCTTATTTGTAAATCAAATATTTTCATAGTTAGAGCATAGAGGACATGAAAAAACACCCTTTAGTCACCATTACACTCGTATTACCCAAGTTATTAAACGAAAAAGGGAAAATACAGGTAAAACATTTTGGACGTTACAATTATCATTTATTATTTATTATATTATTTATGGCATCAAGCGTGTACAGTATGAGCCAATCAGTGGCAGTAATGACAGAGCATGTGCTGTTACGCAAAAACCGCGATAGAGTGAAGCCGCGGAAGTCGAAGTGCGAAGTGGCGAGGGTTCACTGTATATTTGGGGGAGAAAACTTGGGAGAAATATTTCTGTTTCCCACTGTCAGGTTCCACAGAGGATAACTGACATCAACCGTCTTGCGTAGCTGGAATTAGGGGCTACAACATTGGAGGGGGGGTCCCTCACTGACCATAAAGCCAAACTCCACAGAATGGAATATGAATGTCTTCATAAGCAACCTGAAAAGTCTTTCCACCATTAGCTGGCTATTGGTTCTAATCCTGTCCTGAAATATAGCATCAAATAGTCTCCTTCCCCTTCCCCACCAAACCAGGAAACCAATCCCTGCCATTAACTGACTCCAACTCATGTCACATATTAGGGTTAAGACATCAGCATCTCTCTTCGGAAGACTCCATTCAATCTGTAACAGAAACTAAGTAGGCATCATCTCATGGAAGACCTGTTATCACCATTGATCATATGCAACTAGTCACAGAAATAGGTTGATTAGCTGTGAGAGGTGGGACCCTTAGACTCTACCATAGTGACAAGGTGAGCACTGACCCCATCTTTCAGGAATAAGCTACATGGCTTTTTGGAATGCAACGAATGCCAGAATTATTGGGCACAATCCCTGCCTTTTGCAGGGTGGTTTGTTTGTTTGTTTGTTTTGTGGTGAGGGGGTGGGGGTAGGGGCTCAGTAAGCAGATTAGAGAGTTTGAATGATAGGGTGGTAACCACAGAAGGCCTGTGGCAGTATTTCTGCTGCATCTCTGCCCTTCTGATGCCAGGGCCTGGGCTCCTTCACCTGTCCCACACCTCATATCACAAATCACAAAGCTTCTTCCTAACTCTCTTTATTCACTCACCTTCCTAAGACATTAACTTGCTTAATTCTGTTTAATCCCATTAATTTTCGCCTGCGGTAGACGCTAAATGCAACTGGACATTGCTTTTCCATT